CTCACGAATTCAGTTTGTGCGCCATGTTTCTTTTTTTTTCTCTATAAGGGAGATCTTTCAGGTCATGCGCACTTTTTGGAAATGGTTTGTTGCTTGTTGTGGGGGTCCATACAAGGATCACAAAAATGGGTTTCATTTTTGCCATTCATTTTCTGCTGAGGTTAAAAACTGAGTGAAATGAAGTTGACAAGAATGGGCGATTTTAACCATCTAATGAGTTCCGGTCCGATTGTAACTTCGAGCATGCATAGTTTATGAGTTGCTCGTTCGATTAGGATTCAAAAATAGATTTGAATAAAGTCAAAATGTAAGTATCATGTAGTAACACACTTGGCATGCACCGACGCAACAGTGATGTTTTTGTCAGCGGTCCCTCATGCTCACTGTCGAGATCGGATGTGCGCGGCGGATACTCGATGAACTGTCTAAATGGGACGACGACGCAGGACTTGTGGATCAGGATCCCCCTTGGTCGCGAAATTGTTTGGCATTTTTCATCGTTCATATCTTTCGTTTGCTGTGTTGTCTAGGCAAGTGGAAATAAGGCAAGTAAATATATGCTCGTTCCATCGTTCAGCGTACGCGTGGGTGACCGCTGAGTATGTCGAAGAGCATCCAGGACCGTTTTCAACTCCGACCGACTCCGGATCCAACGAAGTAGATGTTGTCGTCCCTTGTCAAGAAGACAGTAACTGCTCTTCTCTGGCGTTTGTCAGGTGTAGTTGGTGCAATAGATGCATATGCTTCACATGTTTTCTTGAACTTTGCCACTGTTGTTAGATTTGTCTATCAATGAAGGGAAATGTTCGTAACGAGACTAGAACTTTGCCGGAAACAGACTTCTCAGCCTTCCCAGCCTCAGACTTCAACCGAGCTGGCTTGTAAGAGGTACAGCAATGAAGAATGTGCCTTCAAATGGCATATATTTGGCTTATTTCCACTGCTGGACACACAGGAACGCGAATGAATAGAAAGCTGACAAATGCGAAACATTTCCCGCAAGGAGGATGCTATCCACTAGGAACCGTACCGTCGTCCCATCCAGAACTCATCGAGTTATCCGCTCTCATCCGATACCGCCGACAGTGAGCATGAGGGGACCGCTGACAAAAACATCACTGTTGCGTCGGTGCATGCCAAGTGTGTTACTACATTAGACTTACATTTTGACTTTATTCAAATCTATTTTCGAAGCGCAATCAACGAGCAACTCATAAACTATGCATGCTCGAAGTTACAATCAGAACGGTACCCATTTAGGATGGTTAAATTCGCCCATTCTTGTAAAATTTTTTCCTCTCAGTTTTTTGACCTCCCCAGAAAACTCATAGCATAAAATGAAACCCTTTCTTGTGGTCTGCTTGTATGGACCCCTTATACAAGCAGTAACCATTTTCCAAAAAACTACAGTCAGCTCCCACGATCTGAACGACCTCCCTTGTTAGATACTAGTAGCGTTGGGTGAAGCGTAATTTACTGAGCCAGAGGCGACAGGATATCTCTTCGCTCACATAAAGCGAACAGGGCCGGAGAACTCGTTACAAGATTTCTCTTCGCTCTTCTCTTTAAAGTCACCGCGAGCGGCTGAAGGTTTGTAACTGAAGCCCCTGTGCTTACTATGCAATCGCGGGATTTGTCTTTACGCACCCAACAACTCTTGTTGATAGTTTGGTTGCAGTCGAAGACTGTGTCAGAACCCATTAGTCTACGTGTCTGTACTGTATTTGCTTTTTTCTTCTTTCGTTAGCTTAATTTTTCACGCCACCTTATCAGAAACGTCAGTCACAGACTGAACAGGTCTCCTGCAAAGGTTTTCTATGTGATCGCATAGGGAAGCGCATAACTCTCTAATACCCTCATAGTTGTAATATTAACTTTTTGACAAGCTTTGCTTATTTTCAGCTTGTCTCGGCTGGGTGACGCAATTGATCCCACGTATGGTGACATATTATGTGTCAACGGCACTCTTCGCTCTTTTTGGACTCAAAATGCTCCATGAAGGTTACCATATGTCAGCTAGCGAGGGACAGGTTAGTGACTTGAGTGGTTACTTAGTTTCCTTTCTACTTTTATTACTGAAAAATAAGCCGTTCCTGTAGAAACCGTCCATACTCTTTGATTGGGCACTGGAATGGCTGATATGTGAATACACTTGTGTAGACAGTCCCCGCGCTCGATAGAAGATTCCTTTCCTGCCCAAATGGTGCGCTGCTGCTCGGAGGTTGTACTACTTTCGCGATTCCGCAGTGAGTGGTGAAAGCGCTGCGACGTCCGCAAAGTATTGGGTTTTCAACAATAAGTACTTTCGTTTTTTTTCAACCGGAAATTTCGTTCCAAAGATGAAATGTTTTGTTAGCAAGCTTGATATCATCTGATAGGAAACTTCACGTAGTTTTAGAATATCAAAACGGCTTCGGTTGAGGGAATAATTTTTGTGGATTTTTAGTCGTTGAAGTTGAAAGCGAAGTCGGCGAAAATTAGCACCTTCGACAACTGCCTCTATTTACGTATAGTCGAAGTGCTAAAATCGCTTAAGCTGCTCCATACATTTGGAAAAGGTCGAGCTAGAAGTTCCAGCAAGGGAATCTCACTAGGACGCTTTGGAACGAATTTCAAGAATTTTGAAGTTACCAACCTTCACCTCGCCGATATTGGGCAGCTCACGTCTGTCACTGAAAATTTTATGCTAATAGTCTGAATGTTTCGCTGATATGTTTTGCATGTTCTGATAGCAAATTTCGTGCTCTATAACACTGCTATAGAAATCTGTTCTCCAGAGGTGTTTGCTTTCTGTCAAGTCAGGTTATCATTACGGAACGCGAAGTCGTTGAGAACTGCGTCCCATTGCTCCACGAATTTATGCTAACATTTTGAAAATGTTTCGCCATGTTGTTCGATATGTTCCTGATAGACAATTTCGTGCTCTAATAACCTAACATTGCGGTTGATTTTTGAAAATCCTGTGATCGCCTTGTTTTCAGGGTGGATAAATATGGAATGTCAGGTTCGATAAGCATAGCAGCTTCAGACATTCCACATCCTTTTCGCAAATTCAGCAAAGGTACAGAAGCTGGCTGATGCTGCTCGGGAAATTCGCGAAGTGTACGGGAAGATGCCGTCTCTCTCAAAACAGCCCAAAATTGGTTCAGACGCTTCAAGAATGGTACTGATACCTCTGTTGAATGCGAAAAGGAGAGATGTCCGAAGTGCTGATGCTTATCGACCTGACATTCCATATTATCCACCTGAAAACAAGGTTCATAAAACGGATTTTCAAAATAACTGCAACGCAGTGTTATAGAGCACGAAATTGGCTATCAGAACATATAGAACACATTAGCGAAACATTCAAATGTTAGCATAAAATTCGTGGAGAACGGGAACGCTAGTTCTCTCAACGACTTCGCGTTCTGTAATCGATAACGCTGGACTTATACAGAAAAGCCAAACAGCCTCTGGAGAACAGATTTCTATAGCAGTGTTATAGAGCACGAAATTTGCTATCAGAACATGCAAAACATATCAGCGAAACATTCAAATATTAGCATAAAATTTCAGGTGGAACAGACGTGAGCTGCCCAATATCGGCGAGGTGAAGGTTGGTAACTTCAAAATTCTTGAAATTCGTTCCAAAGCGTCCTAGTGAGATTCCCTTGCTGGAACTTCTAGCTCGACCTTTTCCAAATGTATGGAGCAGCTTAAGCGATTTTAGCACTTCGACTATACGTAAATAGAGGCAGTTGTCGAAGGTGCTAATTTTCGCCGACTTCGCTTCCAGCTTTCAACCACTAAACATAATCCCCACAAAAAAATTAGCTACCTTGCAACCGAAGCCGTTGATATTCTAAAACTACGTGAAGTTTCTCTATCCAGATATATCAAGCTTCTAACAAAACATTTTCAATCTTGATACCATCCTTGTGACCTACTGTGAAGACAATGGAGAAGGGGACAGTCTCAGAGAATGCGGGCTGGACTAAAGAGGAAGCGTTAAAAATGAAAATTAATGACTCTGCTGGAAAAACCGAACAAGTGAGAAATATTGGGACGAAAGCAAAGAGGTAGCTCAACTGTCGCTTATTTAGTATCTGGCACATGCAAAGCATACAAACATAACTAAAAAAGCGCAACGTCCTCTTAGAACGTGATGCAAAATTAAAAAAGAATTGATGCAAAATTAAAAAAGAATGCCTCTTCATGAAACTCATGCTGTTGCTGTGCTGTTATGGAAAACCTCACCTGAGAGCACAGTCATAAGTGCAAGAGCTCCCATAGCGCCAGAAAACACGGTAAGCCTCGAATGCCGCATGGCCATGATTACAGCTATAAACCATGTTTTGTCACCCAGTTCCGAGACAATGATGACGGATAATGAAGCGAGGAAACCATGATAAAAAGATATGTCATATTCTGCCTTTAACGAAATCATTAAACTCAAGATGGAAAATGAGGTAGGGATGATTACTAGAGAACTCACTCTAGGTTTATGCGAAGATTTTGGCATTGAGTCAACAGCGACATCAGGATGTTGCTCCTCGAGAAGTGGAGGATGATCGACTTGTCGGAGCGTTTCCTTGCTTCCTGACTCACTTGTTGCCGACAGCGTAATAAACAACGCTAACAAGACGATCTTTATCCACATTGCCCTGAAAATTGGAAAATGTGGTGAACTCAACTGTTCAAGGGATAAGCAACGAATAATCGCAAGTAGGTAAGAAGTACGACAAGATAGGGCACAGAGCGAGATTTCCAAAGATAAATCAGACAGAAATGTGTGCACCCAGGATCTCTGGGTGCACACATTTCTGTCACATTCAAGCACCGGTGCGGAAAGGTCCTGTTTCGGCAAAAAAAACATCAACTATCGCCATCATATTCAGGTGATATTAGCACTCATCGTGGGTTTTACAAAAAAAAAAGAAAAGAAAAGAAAAG